ACGTTTAATTTATTTAGTAACAAAATATGGAGCAATATTATAATTATTGTCGATTAAATTAGTTAGTACTCGTCAAGACTGTGCTTTTAATTAATTTATTGCCAAGCCCGATATAAAATTGTTGCCATTTCGCTTATCGCATATCGTTGAAAAGTCTGCCATCGTTTCGTAATAATTCTGTGAACTGACCAAGATTAACGATAAACATCATTTGCATAAGCTCAGGCACAGACATTTCTATAACGAATATATAATTGAGATTGACACCGCGATTATAATTTCAACGAGAAAATGATTTCGTCATATATTTCCTAAACTAGTCGCGGTGTAAGTTCAATACGTACGATAAATGAATATTTGTATTAGTAGCTTTACTGGAGTTTATTATAAATAAAATTAGTAGCTTTACTGACGTTTATCATAAACAAAATTCACTTCTGTTCTCGTTCAATTGTGAAATATGCAATGGAATACTTTGAAGGAAAGTTGAAATAGAGTACATTTAAAATGTACAAAAAAGAGAACAGAAAAATTATTTTATAAAAAATAATTATTTATTGTCATATCTAGTTTAGGAAGTATACGATATATGTAATATCTATGTTCATGAAAGTTCAAGTTTAATTTCTCACATGTTTTGTCATTTTTAATGCTTTCTAAATGATGAAACATATAAGATTTCTGTTCTTACGTTACGACTTGTAATTTTAAATAATTATGATTAATTCAGTGACTGTAGGGAAATTCGAAACCTATAACGTTTATAATGTATTAAACTTGTGATATAATGTAACCGAAAAATATATTGTACCGATATATTTGATCTTTAATTGGAAAAAATATCTGTTTCTGTGAGAGAAACAAGAAATTGAGTACTTTTTCTTCCAAAACTCGAAGCTTGCAAATTCATACTTGAAATTACTAAAACGAGGAAAAAACGAAAATAACAAAAGAATTAGTATAGCTACAACTTCTAAAACAATATACGACTTTAATTTATATCGATATTTCTGCGATTATACCTTAAGTTAATCGTGATAATCCATGCGAGTTTTCACTATTCACAGACTATTTGTACAATTAAAGCAAGATAGACCAATAGGTGATAAAAATAGGACGCGTGTAAATGAAATTTAGTGTTTCCTAGCTTTCACTCGTAATTTGAAGATAATTGAAAGAAACTTACGAAGTTGTCGATCACCGAGACGTAGAGAAACGAAGAGACGCTGGGAGTGAGAATGTTTCGAAGATACTCGTGCACTCTTGTATATCTGAAATAATCGATAGTAATCACTGTAAAGAGTATAGAACGTCGAAACTGCACTCGTAAAGTTCTACAGATATAAATTATTTAGGATAGCCTAATAATTAATTATCGATTAATTCTTTAAGTTTTGAGAATGCTTTATCTAGAGGTGGATTTAACTTATAAATAAATGAAACGAGTAAATAAATGAATTTATATAATGTATACATATTATATGTATTTACGAGAATGATCTATCTATGTATACATATACCGTGCGTATATGTATATATACGTATGTGTCTGTATGTGTGTATGCGGATGTATATACTTGCATACATATACATACATATATATATGTATGTATGTATGTATGTATATATGTATGTATGTATCGGTTAGCAACTACTTTCAAGACTGTGGAACATCATAGGTGTATAAATGTTTAAATAAATTATTATAACGTGGCAATCAGTATCTCCTATAAATTGTTTCTCTATTCCCTTCAATTCTTCTTCTTTTCTTTCTCTTTAATAATATATTGGCTAATATAGTGGAAGATTATTTCATGTAAATTGTTTCGAAGTTTTACGAAATATTTGTCTTAAAAGGTTCGAAGTCCTGCACCCTTCCTTTTCAGTTTTAGTATTTAATTTTCATTCGATATAGAATAATAAATTTAATAATTAAATCTAATATTATAGTTAAGTGTAAAATTCGAAAATTTTTCCTTCATAAATATAATAATAAATTTTATAAATGATGATAATTATCGTGATTATTTTTAGTCTAATACTTGAGTATTTTATAAAAATATTTGGAAGTTATGATTCGTTATATTTGAATCGTTTTATAGTAAAAAATATACATAATATCTGTGTTATTTTATTATAACTAATTTTATCATAACATTACGTTCATTTATAAAATTCGTTACATATTATCCATTATATCATTGACATTATGTAAATTAATTGAAGTATGTGAAATGTAAAAATTTCACGTGATTAATATGTTTTACATCAGCACATTGAAAATATCGACACACATTGATGATGTGTTATATACAGAAATGTTTATCAATAAATAATATAACATTTTACATCATAGATAAGAAGTAATACAAATAAAGCACAATTATTAACGATAAAAAAAATTAAATTCGCGTTAGTGAATGATTCATTGGAACGACAGCTCTCTTCGCTGATATAGCAGAAAATTTGTTTGTCTGCTGATTTTATTCATTCAGAAGAGTATAAACATCCGTGTCTTATTCGAGGTCGATATTTAGTTTGACAAAACATTAAGTTCTATTTGTGTTTCACAAATTCTTACTGTCACAAATTTTCACTCCAAATTTTCAAATGTTCGAGATCTATTATAATTATACTTTGCTCGGTTGACACGGAGGCAGCACTTACCGTTTCAATTGCATAAAACATAAACATCTCGTAGATAATATTACATTTTTTTGAACTGTTTGCACATTGACTTACAATTAGTGAATGCTATTATTGGCTAATTAGGATAAATCGGGCACAGAGTTATATGAATAGACATTGCATACAATGTATTTTTTCGGCTACGATTTATGAATACCTTATGCTCGATTACCATTTTCGTGTCACATCCTGTCGTACCGATTCAGGCAGATATTGCACTGCAGCACTACTAGTGGTGAGAATCAAAATCAAAAAATATGGATAGGGTTGCCAGAATTATTTCGAGAATTATTCATTGAACGGTGGTACTTCATCAATGAAGGAATATAACGATTTAAAAAAGAAATTTGCAAAATATGGGATGAAGAATTTATATTTGACTATTAATATCTATTTAAAAATATTAGAAAAAAATTGATTGAAACGTGATATTTTTATGAAAAATATAATTAGATATGACGTTCGAGCATTTAGAAGCAAGTAGCCTAGCGCTATCCCCGACAGAGTGGAGTTCCGAAGAACCGCTAAGTCGAATTACCAAGGATGCTAAAATACAAGAACCCCACCTCGACATTTCGGACAAGGTTGCAGTTTCTCGATTTGACACACTGACTGCGAAACTTGGAAACTCGACTCTAGTGCAATGAACAAAGTAACAATAGCAACAACGAACGAAAGAAGAGAGGAGATGAGGCATTTTTAATTTCGTTCTAAGTTCAATCAAACACGTGTCTTTGTACAGAATGCGTTCACAATGAAGTTACAGAGATTAACTAAAACTAAGCGCACGCAACTTAAAGCTAAGACGCACGTATCCCACGACGTCCCTGCGAGATCCCTCGTCGTCCCACAGTGCCCCGTTGGGGGATCTAATACTTTACTTATCAACTAATTGCTCCTACAATTCAATTTAGATCTAAACTGAACTGTAGGTTGCGTAATTCTTAGCTTGATAT